TGTGCGGCAAGTTGCGTTTGAAGTGCACTTCTGGAGCCGGTTGTCATAAAGGCTGATCACCTACAAATCACGGTCAGTGCAAAGACGCCTCTACTGTGCAGACTATCTGCCCCACAAGAATGCAGCAGTCTTACAACGCAAAAGGGACAAGCCATGACCTTATAGAAAATTAAAGAGTGATTGCTTTGACACCTGGTTTGGATCACATCGGCTAAATTTGTTGATCATGACATCAGTGTGCAGCTTCGTTGAAAAGCCCTTTGAATTGGATGGCAATGGATTTCGGATTACCAACAGCCCCTTGACCGCCTTAAGTAGCAGACTGGATCTGTAGGGTAACACAATTGATCAGGTGTTTCCACAAGAGCCATGTGGGCACTTTGCGGCAAGATTTTGCCCTTTGGCCTCAGGCTCATCCTCCCTTGCAAGCTTGGTGGGCTTGGCAGGCTTCAGAAGGGACGGGCAGCTTTCCTTGGTAGAAACACAGTGAGTGTCTTCTGCGTCCTTTCGATCCGCGAGCAACCCTTGACTGCAAAACTAGGTCGGCTGGGTGGTTGCTGAGGGCTCAAATCATGTAGGGCCATCCAATGAGGGTTCAAGCATTGATTCAATGATATTGGTAGATATGTTTCACTTTGTTTCACCAGCACGCGTTTCCTAAGAGTTGGCTTGCTGCTTCCCCTGGGGGACAATACTCTTGGGGTCAATTGAAGACTGCTGCGGTATCCCACTGGCGAGACAAAAAGCGACCCACAGATCGCTCGCATAACTACAGAGCAGGGCGACAAAGCCACTTGATCGCTCGCCAAGAAGCAGAACTGCGTAGAATCTTCTCGCAAGTGGCCGCTTTTGCAAGACGGCTGGGAGAGCGCGTTGGTGACCGCTCCTTTAGAAAGAGAAATGTTGTTCACAAATTGACAAATAATGATTCATCAATCGTCCTTTAGTTCTTGCTGTTGTCAGAATCCATGATGCAATTCTCGGCAAAGCCGGGTCTGAAAGTCCAGAGCAACGACAGGGACATAATGTTGTTATTTAAGGTCGATTCCTCTTGAGACAAATTCGGAAAAGAACATGAATGAGAAACCTTTCGCGCGCGCGCGCGCGAGCTTGCTCCTTCTTCCCTTCGAATTGCAAAGGTCGACGGCGCGGAGATTCGCGCCATCGTCGAGACTCGCACCTGTAGATTTCGGAGCACTGCTGAAGCCATGTCGATACCGCCAAGGTTGAACACTCTCTTGTCAACAAATGTATCATATGATGTAAAGGATTCAATTATATAACTTAAACAATATATTACTCAATTGATTCTTTCATTCTATATTAGTTATCGTGGAACTCAGGATAGGAAAGTAGTAAGTAGGCCATGGAGCACTGCTCACAGTTTACACATCAAGTTGTCGTAATTTGGCCCTCCATTTGGGCCGACAGCAAGCAGCAGAAATGGGTGCCTCCATCCACATGATTCGGCCAAAACCACCATTGCAAGAGGCCAAGTTCTTGTTGCCACGGTGCTGCAGACTCCAGGAACAGCCAAACACTTGAACAGGAAATCCTTCTATATAAAGAGTATTCATAAAGAGTATTCATGCAGCCTGTGAGGACATAAATCAACAGCCTGGAGCCAAACCGGGCTTGGTTGTCATGGCAGCGGATGTTTACTTCAACTCCAACTCCACAAAACTGTAGAAAAGATGGAGACTGCATACCAGTGCAGAACATTTCAGCACCATCCAGTCATCCGGTGCTCACTTGAGTCTTGCGTGGCACATCACGACAATGTCAAGCTCCTCTCGAAGCACCGACTCGATGAGATTTATGGAGCAAGTTGGGGAGAAGCCTCGCTAACACTGATGCTGACCCGAATTTGCAGCACAAGCCTATGTGATTTGAAGTCTTCTACATTCATAACCAACATAAGGCCACTGCAATGGTTGGCGCCAAGCTCGTATTTGGACAAGAGTCGACTGTTCAGCGTATCCTGCAAAAGAAAAGCCACCTTCGCTGGTTGATGACAATCGGAAAGACTGAAAGACTGCGGGATTCTTGAAGGGAAAAAATGCACGCAAATGCTCAAGATTTACACACACCTCTCCTGTGAAGCATTCGACATGGCCAAGACAATGCGTCCTTGCATTCAATTCAATCACAGAGGCTGATTGCAGACAAAACAAGTGAACGATTTAGACTGTGTTCTATACTATGCTAAACTAGTCGTGCTTCTGCAGTGAGAGCCGCGAGTACCTTGCCAAATCTTGTAGAGGTGATCTTGCCGTCAAGCTGCGGGTGCCCCATCCGCTGTCGACTCGCTGCTCAAAAACCTCGCCACACTGGCCATCCCTCGTTTTCAAACGGCACCTGCACTGCTGTGTTTCAACCAAGCGACATTGATCGAAGGCGCTTGTGGAAGACGGCTGATGCGAAAGCCCGAGGAGGTGTGAAAGAATCGGGCATGCGCTCGTGCTAGTAAAACGGCGATCCAAAGGCCCACTGGACCAGCCCCAATGACAGCCACACGCGTACCCTCCATTGGTTGCGTGACCTTTGGAGAAAGGTCTCGGCCCAGCGAAGATGCTCGGCTTGGCGTGTCTGCTTTGGTCGGAGATACAGATGTCCAAGTTTCCCAAGTTCCTTCATCCAATGTGCTTTGGCCAACTGTTCTAGTTCTAGAACTTCTAGGCTTCCTGAGGTCTGACAAGTGCGAAGCAGACCTGGAAAATGTTGCGTGCGCCTCCTGGGTCTGCTTCTTCGACCTGTGACAGACTCCATCAAGCTGGGAGCACGTGGAATTTGATGTTTGTCGGGAGCATCTCCTTTGATCCGATTCCTTCCAGGTCCAAAGGTTGCACTGCGTCGCCACAATGGCCAGTGGACTACCTGGCTCTGCTTGGCTCAAACTTGGGCAAGAGCCCGACCTTGCTACAGATCGAAAGCGTGGCAAACGGGCCATTCTCGACCTGCAAGGAACTTCGATTTGAAAGGTCAAATTTTGACAAAATGCATCATCACTTCGCTCAAGCTTGGTGCCCAGCCCTTAAAACAGGTCTGCACACAGTGTCCGACAGCTCATGTCTCGCCGACATGGCCAAGGCTATCCCACACTGGGGCTGCAAATCAGTTGCAAATCGGCCTTGTGAGTCGCCAAATGCCAAAAATGCTCCCACCCGATAGAAACGCTACAACCACCTTGGATCATTCTTGCTCTCCCCAAATCTGTGAATGTGACCCCTGCAGTCCCTGCAGGTCTGAATGACTATCAGGGGGCTGTCAAATCTCTCCACACTCGCTTGATGCATTGAATCATGACTCATGGGAGTCAAAATGAACAATGTTGTGTGGGGGGCGTTTCTTGTCATCTTAGCTTTCGTAACCCTCCCTGTCATGAATTCACTTCTGACTCAGCATTTGCAGTAAGAGGCAAAGGCTGAAGGAAGAATAGCCAGTTTGAAATCTGAAAAAAAGATTGGGTGCAACAATTCTGTCCATCTATCAAACAAAGCGGAGAAACTCTCGTTCAATCTTTCCCGCCTAGTCACATCATGTTCCTTGCTCTCGCCCTCAGCAATTGCCAACCATGCAATCAACCCTAAAAACCATTCTGCTGATCGGACATTCCCCTTGAGGCTGGGTCTGCGCTCAAGAAAGCTGTTTGGTCCGGCCTTGCTTTGGACAACTTGCTTGATTTTATATATATATATACATAATACTGTAAATATGTAGTGTGTATATATATATATTATACACGTAATCTTCTTTGATCGGAGACAAAAGCATGATTGGCGACCAAGCTGCTCCAAAGATTCACCTTCGCCACCTTCGCCGCCTTAGAGCGAAAGTCTACGTTCGTACCAAGTAAGAAGCACGAGATGGCGCAGGGAACTGTTGGGCTCTTCCAATCTTCAAATTCCTATCCTCTGCTGAGGTTGAAAGATGAAAAAGAGTTGTTGAGGATTGAGGAATGTCATGAGAATGAGGCCAGGCAAACACTTCCGGAGCATATCGGGGTCTAAGAAACTCACCAGTCTGGTCTGGACCCGCATCCTGAAACGCACAGAACAAGATTCCTCAATGCTTGCGAGTTCGAGTCGAAAATCCGTCTCAACCAAGTCGTCCCAAGAAAGGTAGTTGGAGGTGTGCATAGCCAAGCTGAGTCGAGGCTTGAGACTAAAGAAGAGAACTCAGCTGGGAGACCAAAGAGAACTCTTCCTTTTGAATCTACAGTCATCCAGTCACTCCAAGGAGACATAAGGAGACCGGGACCCCACTTCATTGCAATGTGCAATGCAGCAGCTATAAAGATGGACGCTTCTTTGGCAGGACAAACAACAGATTCTCAGTGGACATATTCTATCTGTCAACTCGCAGCCAAAGCAGCTCTACTCCCTCAGACTTGGCCACAAATGCGCAACCCCGGCATTGCACCTTGCGTATGATACAGGCATGTCAAAAGGTGTGTAGAAACTTGAGCAAGCAGCAAGCCCATGAACCAGTCTGGATGTCTCGATATTTCAACTTGCGTCAACCACCACAACCCTTGCTGGGGAACAGCTATGCTCTTCAACTGCTACTGCTACTTCAATTTCCATCAACTGCTACTCCACCTTCGAGTGCACATTGTTGCTCGGGCGCCGACCAAATCTTCCCCTAAGCCTTTGCCTAGCGTACGGCGTACATATCGTACTAGTATGGAATGCTATGGAATGCAATGTCAGGTGGCAGAATATTGCAATTTCATGCAAGCCTTCTTACCCCGTGCTTTTCCTGCTGGCTTCTTTGCCATCTTCCCTTTGACCTTAGTGGAACATGAAGACACACAAAGGCTGGTTGAGCCACAACTGACAGAGATGGAGCAAGTTTGATTCAAGAGCTCAAACTGCTCAAACAATCACGTGTGTGGGGGGGGGTTTGGGTCTATGGCCTCTCTACCCTGGGTCGGACTGTTTGATGTCACGTCTCTAGTTGGAGATGTGCTCACAGTGGCCCACATGTTTGATCTCCACTCAATCCAAGCCAGCCTTGATCAAGGCGGACTTCTCCTCCTCATCCTCTGATTCCTCGACATCATTCATGACCACCTGGGTCATTGACACTTGGCCACCACGGTAGTGGCCGTGTGAACCAGTGGGGCAGCAGCTTTGATGCTTGCAATGAACACAGTGTGGACTTTTCACCATAGCTATCAGCAAGAAGCTCCAAGTGCCTCTGCGTCTTCACCATCCGCATCAAAGCCAGGTTCCTCTACCAGCCGCCTTCCTAAGGCATCGAAGCTGAAGGCACAGTTTCCGTTGACGCGAACATTGAGGGCGTTGCTCTTGGATGGAAGCACGACCTGTCAAGAGACATTCGGCTAAAGACTCTCGGCCACAAAGCTCCCTTTTCACAAGCGCTGAAAAGGGGTCTACGAGGGGGCACATTCTTCATGTGGGTGCCCGAGCCATGTGAGACGAGATCAGCTTCCCAAAAGGAAAGCTGATCATGATTGAGCGGGATCCCTCAGTTGTCAAAGTCCTACCTCATCTGGCACTTTTTGTTGACTCAGCGATCCTGCCACATAAATCCCCAAGAAACTATAAAAACCGATTAAAGGCATCAGCTTCAAGATGCGTGGCCTAGAGGCCTCAATGATCCTGGCTTCCAGCGAAATACTGAGTGCATAGGACACACACGTCTCTACGACAATTCGCCAAAACAATCCTGAACAACAATCACCACCGACACCTATCTGAACTCGGAATGCACCAGGATCTATGTTTGGTTCAACCTGATTCCCAAGCCTGAGTGACAAAGGCTCAGCTTTAGGGAATCTGGTGATTCATCTGCACCAAGCAGGTTTGACTCTGGAAGCTTGAGTGCCAACTAGGGGTTGTTTGTTTCATTCAAGGGAAAGCAACCGCTTAAGCTGTTATTTCACTTGAAGTTTGGCCAATCCTGCAACACATGAAATACAATGAATTGATTCAGCCGCACTGTGGCGTCTGTGTGTGTCTGGAGGTTTAAGGCTCTTGTCTCTCAAGATGTTGCGTAGAGCCGTAGAGCTGGCTAGCGTGCTTTGGCCTGGTGCAAGCGTCGAAGAACAAGAAATCTCCGGAGTTGACAAAGTTCAGTCCTGGCCTGATTTTTGACCCCGCTGATTTTTGCTTGGACCCACTCTGGATCTCCAAGGTATGCTCCACCTGAAGTGGGAAGGTCTTTACTATCATTTAATATCTCAACGGGCCGCACTCACCCGACGTCTTTTGGGAAGACCTAGCAGTTGCTTGAGCATGAGGAGACTTACTCTGCTTGAGTTTAAGCTGCCAAGGCAAGGACTTATGAGCTCTGCGTGGCCAGGAAGCTCCACCTAATTGCTGCGACTTACTCATGTAGGATGCACATCGTATCATCCTTTTTGTTGTGAAAAATCCTGAAGTTCACATTGAGACTTGAGAATCCAGCTGGCTTGAGATTGCGATTTAGTCTGTACACCAAAGGTACCTGGAGGTTATTGAAGCACAGGGAACAGAACAGCTCCTTCGCACAATGTGCGAAAGTCCAGAACTCATGCGGAGCACCCCTGTGGGAATATTGAGGCCCACGATCTTGTCCTAACAAGCACTGCACCTTATTTGATATGCAAACGTCCAAGAACAAAACATTAAAAAATTAGACATAAGGAAACACAATCAGAATGTAAATCAACTCCAGCTGTAAGTCGGCCCTCCTCCGGTACGTTATCCAGGATCTTGACCAGGGCACGCAAGGAGTTCCCATGTGCTGCAATTAGCACCTGCCGGACTCCAAGAACACTCCCTGCCAAGTAACTTCCCCACCCCAACGGACATCGACACCCAATCATCCTTTTCTTTTTCTACGGGGGGGGTAGGCCGCTAGTAGCTAGGCAGCTAGTAGCTTACTTAAGCTACTAGTATGGACGCAGGATAGCTCGCGCTTCTTCAAGGAAGCTACCCAAGCTTCCTTGAAGAAGCGTTCGCACTTATATAATGATTTGGTTCCTAGATTTTTAGGAAAACTTAACCTCAACGACTGGCACAATGTGAATGATGTCAAGAATGCATCAGTTCCCAGCAAAGCCCAGCTGAAGAGGGCCAAGTGCACGTAAAAGTTGAAACATGAAGGAGTTGCAAGAAAATAGCTCTTGACTCGACTCGATGAAGAGAATAGCAGCTCTGAATAGCAATAATGAATGATGTGAAGCTTGCAAACGTCTTTCAAAAGCCATCTCTGCTCTGAGATAAGCCCACCTTCTTGCCCTTGCGCAGCTGCGGCGCGATGGTCTGCCTCCATCCATCGTCGGATTTCCAGGTCAAGGACTCTGGCAGTGCCCAGTAGAGCAGAAGCAAACTGAAAAAAATGGGGTTGGTTGGCCTCGGGTTGGAGGTTAGAGAGTCGAGACCAAAACCAGCAAGGATTCGTTAAGTGCTTTGCAGCTGACTGTACTTTGCAGAATGATTTGTGCCGTTCCAGTAAGGTGGGTGGTTGATAAGAACAAAACAGAAGCCATAACTGAATTGGTTGACTATTGGAATGGTCACAAAAGCTCTGGAATATGTAGCATGTTGCTCAATTTTGATGTGCAACGGCTATTCGCCTCGGCCTCCATTCGTTCGCATTTGCATTCGGTCGAGCCTGAAGAAGGGAAGAACGCGGTCGATGGTCGTGGCCAAAGACCTGGCAGTTTAGGATCATCGAGTCCAAAAGCATCACTGATGGATGTCCTTGGGACCTCTCTCAAAGTTGTTGAATGCATTTCGGATGTCAAAACCAGTTCGAGGGTTCGCCTTTCTACATGTGCTATCTTCTCTTCCATACCATGGTGGGGTCCCCTCCTGGACTACTTTGTTCAATTTAAGGTGACCTTCTAATCAATCCAAACACTTGCAAATAGCAAGCTTAATTTTGAATGCAAAATAGTCAGGACGAGGCTTGAATCAGGTAGAGTTTTAAGTTATTTAATGCATCGTGAGGCCTTGAGGTCCAGAAAATAGATTATCAGCATACATTGAGTTCCTTTCAGAAAACCTATTTATTTGGGCACCTTTAAGTTAGGAATAAAGTATAACTCAAATGTCAACCACCCTACAATCTTTTCGTGCAGCTTCTGTTGACCAGACGATTGTGCACCAGATCAAACGAACCCGAAGGCCAAAAGGCTTGATTTAGAAGACACATTAAGCTGATGGAAAAACTGGTAAGAATCTCCAGCCCTGGAGAAATTGGGTGGAGGAAATACCCGGCCACCCTTTAAAACTTTTGTGCAACTTGCGTTTGCATTCCCACCCTAAATGGTCTGACCATATCCGATATGCAAAATCAACCATGCCAAAGAAGCTAAGAAAAATCACCTCAATTGGTCCTTTCCAAAAAGAACGAGTCCCTACAAAAGGACCGAATGGCATTTGATGGAGGTCAAATGATTTCCATTTTGTAGCGAATCACCCACACAGAATGTCAATTGATTGCTTTTTGACCCCTTTCTCAACCCATACTCTATTGCCGCCACAAAGTACTGCTGCACAAATTCATCGACCTGTCCTCCAGTTGAAGAATTCATAAACCTAAGCGGAAAAACATGAAAAAAACATGTTAGTTGTCATATTAATTCAATTCAGTCAATTTCTGGCTGGGTCATAGGGGAATCAAAGGCAGGGAAGATCATTTACTAGACTACAACCGTTGATAGCAAATCCCCTAAGTCTAACGTCAATGTGCAAATCGTCATGAAAGAATTAATTCTCCTAAGTTGTGCTCTCCAAGTCGAGTAGTAGGGATTAACTGTAGACATTGTCTTTCTTTCGAGGTGCAGCAGCACTGGCAGTGTACACGCTGCCAAAAGGTGCTAACATTGTTTTCATACTAATTTCATAGGTCTGTGTGCCACACACCCCGTCCTGACATCCTCTACTTGGTGATTCTACGCAGTGGTCATCCACTTAGCTCGGCTTAGGGATAAGACATGCCAGGTGAACTCCGACAGCGGCAGCTGTTTCTTCGGGATGTTTTTGTACTTCGGATCCTGGGCGCCGTGAAAACATTGATCAGAAAAGAGAAGGGAAGGGCTTTCCCTGCGAAGGGTGTTCCTTCTCTTTTCATCTGTTTATCTAGGCTTCAGAACGGATACAGTGAGCACTGAGAGCATGGCCAACTTTGGGTGGTAAGGATTGTCGTCCTGATATTAACGGAGCTGTTGATTTTGTGGTGCGGCGTGTCAAACCATGCAACTTAAGAGATTGGTTGGGGAGACTCTTTGACGTCCGATTGATGTCTTCGCAAGATCTTTGTGCTGATCTCTCGATGAGCCTTGATGGGAGGTGGTGGAACTGCGTACGATCGCCGCCATTTCGTCACCTGACAGCTATAACGTGTGTTCTTTCTGGCCATGGGCACGGCCTGGAACAGTTCCTTAAAAAATGCGGATCAGGGGGCCCTCTGTTCCAAATGGCAATCATATCCTAGTGCCCAAAAGCATTCAAATCATCCCCGATTCCTTTTTTGCGCATGAGTTTCTTGATCAGGTCTCATTGCTTGATAAGGCTTTGAACATGAAAGCTTCAACTACCAGTACATGCTAGTCAGAACACCCAAGTAATCAAAATAACAGGCCGGCAGGCTCAGCTATAGCCAAAACTCAACATCCCGTGATTGCTTAACTCCTGACCTTTCTAGTCTTGCTGTTTCTTCTGCCTTCTCGTTGTTATTCCTTCTCCTTCCTTCTTCTTCCTTCTCCTTCCTTCTCCTTCCTTCTCCTTCCTTCTCCTTCCTT